GGCGCCTCGTCCGCACCCTAGGGGGGAGTAACTGCCAGTGCCACTTTCCAGTAGGTATACTTTCGTTTCATCGACCTCCAATTCATCTGGGAACCCTCGTTTAAGTGGCAATAGGTGTGAAGGAACCAAAGAGGTACACAATCAGTTAGTGACCCAGGGGGAAAGGCCACACGACAGGTGGTGACCTCCTTAAGAATGTAAGAATGCCCGTATGAATTCTTATTGCCAGTCAAGTCACATGAACATAAGCACCTACGGGAGTGTACAAAGATCTGACGGACAAGGTGAAGCATAGAACGACTGCATGTGTGAATTAGGTGGACATTGGGCGAGCGGCTGCGAAGCGGGCGTATTGATTGGAACTGCATGGTTGGATTCTCAATAAATGCGGACACAGTTACGACAAAATGCCTGTATTTCCATGAGAAACAATCAGTGTTCTTGGCCAGGTAGAGGTTCAGCTCGAAGTCAGCAAAAATCCTACTGTCTCCAGACCGCGCGTTCAATATAGCCTCGATTTCCAAGAGCCAGGTGCGCGTCGAGTGCAGACCACACACCACAAGTGACGACGGCCTCCAAGTAAATCTGGTAACTAGTGTTCATAGTGATAGCTGATAGTTGGTAAATGATAGTTGTAATTAGTGACAACTATAATACAACTGCAACAGGCTAATCATTTCATTGGCAGAAAACATTTACATTTTGTGGAGGCCGTCGTCACTTGTGTTGTGTGGTCTGCACTCGACGAGCATCTGTTTTCGGAAACAGGGGATATATCAGGGACAGGGACAGGGAAACAAGAAAACAGGGGAATCGTACATGGCGCACGAATACTTTGGATTATTAACCATCAATTTTTGCAAGTTTACCTGATTGCGCGGCATAGGTTGATAATGATGTGTAGTAGGCAAGCAGAAGCTGCCAGCACCCCCAAAACTGGGTCGATGAGAATCTTCAGCGCTGACACGATGTTCCAACTGCGTGTCCAATGCATTGATGGTTGCCAAGCATCGTTCACAAATGATAGCCTGAAAGCCAATTTTTGGAGTTTTTGCACGTAAATTACCTTTAAAAATGTAGCGAAATGACCCACATGTAAAACAGTGCTGCGGCTGGGTATAGGGCGCCTTCGAGAAAAAAAAAAAAAAAAAAAAAAAAAAAAAAAAAAAAAAAAAAAAAAAAAAAAAAAAAAAAAAAAAAAAAAAAAAAAAAAAAAAAAAAAAAAAAAAAAAAAAAAAAAAAAAACTGGCGCAATGTGGCCCCCCCCCCCCTTTGGGGGTGAAAGTTTGAGCATTTGCCACGAAAGCCACGAGCAATTGGTATACATCAGGCGTCACGAGAGACTAGGTCACGGAACAGATTGAACACACCGTCCAACACCTTAATTGAAGAAGTTGACCTCCCTGAAAACATTTTCGGAGTACCCGACAGGAGACCCGTTGCGCGGCGAGAAGGCAGAGACGCAGACGGGTAGTGGACGAGTTGTAGCGGCAGTATAGCGATTGGCGTCAAATCAAATGGAATGTGCTATAACCACTTCCCATATCGCAACAACACACGCCGCTGCGACTCGTCCACTGCCCCGTCCTGCGTCTCTGCCTTCTTGCCGCGCAACGGTCTCCTTGTCGGATACCCTGTTCTTGAGTTCTAGTGACAAAATAGCTCCATCAAAGAGTAAAAATACTGCAAAAAGGGGTACCTTGCTGGGCCGCTCCTACGACACATACTCCACTTAGCGGATCAGCACCTGTGCTTCGAGCCATAAGCGCGAATAGCACCAAGCCCAATGGCGCTGCCCAAGCGAGTACTTGGATTTGTACGCGGTATTTTTCCTGAAAAAATCCTAGCAGGTGAACAATAATCTTCGAAATGAAACTTGTTAAAGGGTTCAAATCACTAATCCAGTTCCCGATACGTGTAGTTTGCTGTTCAATAGCAGCAAAAGCACAAGCCACCACAGACGGCCCGCGGTGCCGAAGTAGTAGAGCAGCGCTGCGACGCAAGCACATGGAGTGTGGGGAAGGTCGCCGACGACGAACAGCAAATGAGATGAGTAATCGGTGCAGGATATCTGAAATGGAAGAGCTACTACTGAGACGTGGGAACAAACATCTCTCCCACATTGAGGGCAAAATATTGCTAGTCACTCTGCCATGGGTAACCCGTTGTTACTTCTAAATCCTCTGCGTTATCCCTGCAACAGCTCTACCGACATCGCAGAAGAACAGAACCCATTTTAGTAGAATGAAATTCGTACTCAGAGGCGGAGTTTGCGGTATAGAATAAGTAAGAGGTTGTCGGTGTGGGATGACGACGAACATATGAGAACGTGCCAGAACCCACTCAGTAAGTGTGACCGCCCTCTCTGCCCCCCTGCTTTTCGCAGCTAGCCGCGTTCGTCAGTGCTGCCTGCTTCAAAGGCTAGATCCCCTCTCTCACTGAATGGCTGAAGACCTAAGACGGCGAGTTGTAGCCAGTCTGTGGCGTGTCGCGTCGATAGCGCCGCGGGGTGGCTCATGCTAGATCGCCGAGGGGCATATCCTTTCGCTGCAAATTGCGTGTCGGTAAGCTTCCTTTGGGGGTTCACCTGTCTTCCAGTGGGTTAGTTTCCCCTTCTTCGACCTTCTACCTTTCATGGAATCCTCCTTTGAGAATGAAAAACACGAAATAGCAACTAATCGACATTTCGAACATTCGCAAACATTCAGGATAAATTGATACGTATCATTTTTACTTTTTCAAGACTTCCATTTTGAATAAAAAAGGATAGCGGTTTTGTGCCAGAAACATCGCTTTTGAGGTATGGCGCTATCGCAGAATACAGGGGAATCCCCTACGACTAAGACTAGTTGCTCATGCACCCTAGATTCTCACCTATCCCGCCTAGAGTTAGGTTCCTTCTTGACAAAAACTAAATAGTTTACGTGATTTTGAATGCGTTGCCATAACTATGCCCCCCATCTTGCGATAGCGCCTAAGGTATAACAGAAATAAAAAAATTCTGTATAAAACTCCGAGAAAGCTCACCTGTTCACGGTACAGCAGACTGAAGAGGTAGACGATGGAACTCAAAGCAAAGGAGAGAGCCGTCCAGAGAAGACTCGTCTCGGGAAGGGCAGTGAGGCAGTGACGTCTGAAAGGTTCGTTGTGACTTCTAATCAGTTGCGTCCTGAATGCTGAGAGTTCTGTACTTGCTCAGCTAGCAGGTGTATCCTCCCTTATATTGGGGAATAAGAAGTAGAAAATGTTTCCAAAAAGGTTCTAGCTTACCGCATAACAAACGTCAGTACACAAATGGCAGTGATCACAAGACTGATGATGGACAGCACGAAGAGAGCAGTTGAGGCGGATTCGCGATCGACCTGAAACCTTCAGAGTTAATTTGGAGACGATTTCAAAGGATTCGCAAGAGGACATACCTGCTTGATGCCTTGTCCAGCTGCACAGATCGGAATGCACCGACCACTACGGTTCACGTAGACGTGCTCAGGCGGACAGTTATCCTTGTCATGCTCCTCGGGAGTCCTCGCAATGACACCCTCTTCATTCGGACCGCGCATGCACATATCCTCATTGTTATTTTCTGGAATGAAGAAGTTTTGAGGGTCATATGGCACGGTGCTTGCTTGAGGGTTCTCTTCATTGCTGCTTTTAACGTTGCTTGGAGCTGAACTCGGCATTCTCATGAGAGATTAAAGATGTGCCTTAAGATCA